CTCCATTATGACTGGGGCAGTATATTGTATGCATATTCCACCTGCCCATCGCCCGACCTTACCTAACCTTCTGACCTCACCTGCCCACGTTTTATTTAGTTCACTTTTGTCCTATTTCCTCTGACGTCAGTCTCAGCCCCATCTGACATCTTCCGCTATGTGACGTCACATTTATCTTTCCCTTGAAAGGTTCCCTTCTCAACCCCTTTGCTTCACTCTCCCTCTTCCCAAAACATTACCTTCTCTTCCCTTTATCCCCCCTTTTCCATTTGGCCTTCTCCTCTCGCCAGCATGACTAAATCAGCTTAGCTTAAACAACTCAGCTGGATCAGCTCAGAGGGGAGGGGAAGGGGGGGGGGATGAGGGCAGGAGGAAAGGGAAGGTGTGGGGGAAAAACCCGGCGTGTAAGGGGATTTTCTAGGTGGCTGAAACAACTAGAGATTAAAAATAAAAAAGTCTGCCAAAACAAGGCATTATCTGGCGCAAATTTTTTTTTGTCTGACCCGGGGCCGACTCCCCCCCCCTCTCCCACCTTTAATCTCCAAGGCTCACTTTTCTCAAACTGGAAAATGTATAATCCTCGGTATTTACCCTCGGCTGCACCTCTACCTTATGAAAATTAAGCTCTTTATCTCTTTTTATTTTTTCCTAGAGTTGGGGGGGGGGAGAGAGGGTGAGAGAAACATTGTGTGAAAATGTTGAAGAGTGTAAACGGCCGTATACCCAAAAAAAAAAAAAAAAAAAAAAAAAAGAGATGTTCAGGTGTTTATATTAGTTCCCCCTCCCGCTCTCGCTCCCAAGCTACGCTAATATCATGTCCACTCCTGCTATATTTATGGTTCTATCATTATTATAATTATATAATATACAAAAATAAAGAAATAAATTATTATAAATAATAAAATATATTGTTATAAATTATACAATATATTAATTTTATAATTAATATAATAGATTATTATTATAAATCTTTGATAATAAAAATAACAATAAATTGCATTTGTAATTAATAGTACACTTTTTCTAAATTATTACTGCTTTCTCTCTCTATTTATATATTTATTTCTACCACGTGTAATTATAATATTTTACTGTTAATAATATTTCATATTCCAATTATTATTTGTATGATTATTACTGTTGTTAAATTATCAGTATAATTATTATTTCCATAGTGTGCGTGCAGGAGCCGCCCATGTAATATACGAGTGTAAAAACGCAAGAACTATGGCGATATATTTTTCCCCGAGTTAAAAGCTACGTAAAATGCATAAAACTTACATATTCTGTTTTAATTACAAATGTTTTTAACCTCGAGGATGAGAGGCTGGATGCCGAGCCCCTTGTTCAGTGCTGTACTGTCTGTTGCTGTACTGTCTGTTGTTGTACTGTCTGTTGCTGTACTGTCTGTTGTTGTTGTACTGTCTGTTGCTATACTGTCTGTTGTTGTATTGTCTGTTGTTGCTGTGCTGTCTGTTGTTGTACTGTCTGTTGCTGTACTGTCTGTTGTTGTACTGTCTGTTGCTGTACTGTCTGTTGTTGTACTGTCTGTTGTTGTACTGTCTGTTGTTGTACTGTCTGTTGCTGTACTGTCTGTTGCTGTACTGTCTGTTGTTGTTGTACTGTCTGTTGCTATACTGTCTGTTGTTGTACTGTCTGTTGCTGTACTGTCTGTTGTTGTACTGTCTGTTGCTGTACTGTCTGTTGTTGTACTGTCTGTTGCTGTACTGTCTGTTGTTGTTGTACTGTCTGTTGCTATACTGTCTGTTGTTGTACTGTCTGTTGCTGTACTGTCTGTTGTTGTACTGTCTGTTGCTGTACTGTCTGTTGTTGTTGTACTGTCTGTTGCTATACTGTCTGTTGTTGTACTGTCTGTTGTTGCTGTGCTGTCTGTTGTTGTACTGTCTGTTGCTGTACTGTCTGTTGTTGTACTGTCTGTTGCTGTACTGTCTGTTGTTGTTGTACTGTCTGTTGCTATACTGTCTGTTGTTGTACTGTCTGTTGTTGCTGTGCTGTCTGTTGTTGTACTGTCTGTTGTTGTACTGTCTGTTGTTGTTGTACTGTCTGTTGCAATACTGTCTGTTGTTGTACTGTCTGTTGTTGCTGTGCTGTCTGTTGTTGTACTGTCTGTTGCTGTACTGTCTGTTGTTGTTGTACTGTCTGTTGTTGTACTGTCTGTTGTTGCTGTGCTGTCTGTTGTTGTACTGTCTGTTGTTGTACTGTCTGTTGTTGTACTGTCTGTTGTTGTACTGTCTGTTGTTGTACTGTCTGTTGTTGTACTACTGTTGTTGTACTGTCTGTTGTTGTACTGTCTGTTGTTGTACTGTCTGTTGCTGTACTGTCTGTTGTTGTACTGTCTGTTGTTGTACTGTCTGTTGCTGTACTGTCTGTTGTTGTACTGTCTGTTGTACTGTCTCTTGTTGTACTACTGTTGTTGTACTGTCTGTTGCTGTACTGTCTGTTGCAGTACTGTCTGTTGTTGTACTGTCTGTTGTTGTACTGTCTGTTGTTGTACTGTCTGTTGTTGTACTGTCTGTTGTTGTACTGTCTGTTGCTGTACTGTCTGTTGTTGTACTGTCTGTTGTTGTACTGTCTGTTGTTGTACTGTCTGTTGTTGTACTGTCTGTTGTTGTACTGTCTGTTGCTGTACTGTCTGTTGCTGTACTGTCTGTTGTTGTACTGTCTGTTGTTGTACTGTCTGTTGCTGTACTGTTTGTTGTTGTACTGTCTGTTGCTGTACTGTCTGTTGTTGTACTGTCTGTTGTTGTACTGTCTGTTGCTGTACTGTCTGTTGTTGTACTGTCTGTTGCTGTACTGTCTGTTGTTGTACTGTCTGTTGCTGTACTGTCTGTTGCTGTACTGTCTGTTGTTGTACTGTCTGTTGCTGTACTGTCTGTTGTTGTACTGTCTGTTGCTGTACTGTCTGTTGTTGTACTGTCTGTTGCTGTACTGTCTGTTGTACTGTCTGTTGTTGTACTGTCTGTTGTTGTACTGTCTGTTGTTGTACTGTCTGTTGCTGTACTGTCTGTTGTTGTACTGTCTGTTGTTGTTGTACTGTCTGTTGTTGTACTGTCTGTTGTTGTACTGTCTGTTGTTGTACTGTCTCTTGTTGTACTACTGTTGTTGTACTGTCTGTTGTTGTACTGTCTGTTGTTGTACTGTCTGTTGTTGTACTGTCTGTTGTACTGTCTGTTGCTGTACTGTCTGTTGTTGTACTGTCTGTTGTTGTACTGTCTGTTGTTGTACTGTCTGTTGTTGTACTGTTGTTGTACTGTCTGTTGTTGTACTGTCTGTTGTTGTACTGTCTGTTGTTGTACTGTCTGTTGTTGTACTGTCTGTTGTTGTACTGTCTGTTGTTGTACTGTCTGTTGTTGTACTGTCTGTTGTTGTACTGTCTGTTGTTGTACTGTCTGTTGTTGTACTGTCTGTTGCTGTACTGTCTGTTGTTGTACTGTCTGTTGTTGTACTGTCTGTTGCTGTACTGTCTGTTGTTGTACCGTCTGTTGTTGTACTGTCTGTTGTTGTACTGTCTGTTGTTGTACTGTATGTTGTTGTACTGTCTGTTGTTGTACTGTCTGTTGTTGTACTGTCTGTTGCTGTACTGTTTGTTGTTGTACTGTCTGTTGCTGTACTGTCTGTTGTTGTACTGTCTGTTGTTGTACTGTCTGTTGCTGTACTGTCTGTTGTTGTACTGTCTGTTGCTGTACTGTCTGTTGTTGTACTGTCTGTTGCTGTACTGTCTGTTGCTGTACTGTTTGTTGTTGTACTGTCTGTTGCTGTACTGTCTGTTGTTGTACTGTCTGTTGTTGTACTGTCTGTTGTTGTACTGTCTGTTGCTGTACTGTTTGTTGTTGTACTGTCTGTTGCTGTACTGTCTGTTGTTGTACTGTCTGTTGTTGTACTGTCTGTTGCTGTACTGTCTGTTGTTGTACTGTCTGTTGCTGTACTGTCTGTTGTTGTACTGTCTGTTGCTGTACTGTCTGTTGCTGTACTGTCTGTTGTTGTACTGTCTGTTGCTGTACTGTCTGTTGTTGTACTGTCTGTTGCTGTACTGTCTGTTGTTGTACTGTCTGTTGCTGTACTATCTGTTGCTGTACTGTCTGTTGTTGTACTGTCTGTTGCTGTACTGTCTGTTGTTGTACTGTCTGTTGTTGTACTGTCTGTTGTTGTACTGTCTGTTGTTGTACTGTACTGTCTGTTGCTCTACTGTCTGTTGTTGTTGTACTGTCTGTTGCTGTACTGTCTGTTGCTGTACTGTCTGTTGTTGTACTGTCTGTTGCTGTACTGTCTGTTGTTGTACTGTCTGTTGCTGTACTATCTGTTGCTGTACTGTCTGTTGTTGTACTGTCTGTTGCTGTACTGTCTGTTGTTGTACTGTCTGTTGCTGTACTGTCTGTTGTTGTACTGTCTGTTGTTGTACTGTCTGTTGCTGTACTGTCTGTTGCAGTACTGTCTGTTGCTGTACTGTCTGTTGCTGTACTGTCTGTTGCTGTACTGTCTGTTGCTGTACTGTCTGTTGCAGTACTGTCTGTTGCTGTACTGTCTGTTGCTGTACTGTCTGTTGCTGTACTGTCTGTTGCTGTACTGTCCTCCTGGCACTCGCTGTGTAACTTGAGACCTAACCTAACCTTCCCTACAATGAGCCAGCTTAACGGGCAGCGTCACCCATCCAGTGAGTGAACACGCCGCCACATTGCTACAGATTACTACTAAGAAATATGCAGATCTAACGCGTGAACTTCAAATTTAACCCAATCTAACGGCGTAAATATTATTATTAATAATAATAAAAATAATAATTAATAATAATTGTGTGTAGAGTAGTGAGGTTACAGGCACAGACTCGCCAGAGACCTCTGGCACAACACAACAATTAATACCTCTGCCAGCATTAACAAAAAAATTAATTAATATAAATGATAATTTCATTTCAACAAATAACCATTTCATCTACAGTGAGTCAATAGCTGTTATGAGACCCCACAGCCGAATGATCACAGCGCCGGGAAAGACAATCACAGCGCCGGAAAGACAATCTCAGCGCCGGGAAAGATAATCACAGTGCCGGAAAGACAATCACAGCGCCGGAAAGACAATCACAGCGCCGGGAAAGACAATCACAGCGCCGGAAAGACAATCACAGCGCCGGGAAAGACAATCTCAGCGCCGGGAAAGACAATCACAGCGCCGGAAAGACAATCTCAGCGCCGGGAAAGATAATCACAGTGCCGGAAAGACAATCACAGCGCCGGAAAGACAATCACAGCGCCGGGAAAGACAATCACAGCGCCGGAAAGACAATCACAGCGCCGGGAAAGACAATCACAGCGCCGGGAAAGACAATCACAGCGCCGGAAAGACAATCTCAGCGCCGGGAAAGACAATCACAGCGCCGGGAAAGACAATCACAGCGCCGGGAAAGACAATCACAGCGCCGGGAAAGACAATCACAGCGCCGGGAAAGACAATCACAGCGCCGGGAAAGACAATCACAGCGCCGGGAAAGACAATCACAGCGCCGTTGAAACAAACACCCCCCCCCCACCTCGCTCCACATAAACCAAACGATGAAGATTTAAAACCGATCACCAACTTCAATTTATTTAATAAGTGCAAAATCAATGCCTAATACTCCTAGAAACTGAGAATAAAACAACTATATTTTTACCTCGGTTTTAACCATCTAAGATTAAAATAAAAAATCCATCTAATATAAATATTTAATTACCAGGCGTAGTATAATATGCCGTAGGTCATGGCGACAGGTTCCGTAACTCGTGATTGTGTAGGACAGCCGGAGGCCCAAAAAGTCCAAAAGGCCCAAAAGGTCCAAAAGGCCCCAAAGGTCCAAAAAGTCCAAAAGCCTCCCCTCATTACTGCAGGAGTCTGGGACGGCAAGGAGGCGACCAATTGGCTCACTTAGCTGCCAAACACCGCCGGCGGCCAAAGGGCGCACGATCCACTTCAAGACTATCGTACCTTGATTTGTTTTTTTTGCTCATCTGGATAATAATGAGGATAATAAGTTGGTGTGGTCGGGTGGTGTGAGGGAGACCGAGGGAGAGGACTCCTGGGTGTAATGCACCAACTTATCTCACAATATAATTATAAACAATTACAAATGCAAATGCTCCTGTCTCTCTCTCTCTCTCTCTTACTTTATTCCTTCCCCTCTCTTTATTGTAGCGTCAGTAGTGGATTGTCTTGATGACCAAACCACACACCAGAAGAGGAGGAGACGATGACTGTTTCGGTCCGTCCTGGACCATTATCAACTCCACTATCACAATCGACTTGAGAATGGTCCAGGACGGACCGAAACGTCGTCGTCTCTTCACTTTCTAGTGTGTGGTCTGGTTAACATTTTTCAGCCACGTTATTGTGACTCCTCGTCAACATATGATAGTGGATTCTATCGTTAGTGGATCGTGGATAGTGGATTACACGGCATTCTGAGACAAATGTGTATCAATGATCCTACTCAAATCGCCCTTTAACTGATGAATCAAAAATGGATCTAAATAATACGAACCACTGCTAATGTTCAAATTAAATGATTTTGTAATCTGTATTAGAGCAGATTCAATTATGTTCGTAATGAAAGTGATTTTACAATTCGTTATTGAAGAAGCCATCTCCCAATCAATTTGGTGCGAATTTTCTTACACATGAACAAACAAAGCATTAGACAATTGTCCATGTCTTACAGAGCATTTATGTTTCGAAATTCTACATTTCAAATCTTTAGTTGTTTGTCCAACATAGAACCTATTACAGTCTTTACAAGTTTTATAAATGAAACAATTATCACTACGAGGACGGTTTCTAACTAATAGTTTTCCAACAGTATTTTCGTAATTAAACAATACATGTATATCAAAAAGTTTCAAGGCCTTGACAATAGTTTCAAACCCAGAAAAATATGGTAAACATAACATTCTTTGGGCGAATTTTCTCACTACATATTATAATATGTACGACGTGCTTTGCTACGGCAAACTTCCAAAAAACTCAGTGGATAACAAAGCTTGAGACCAATAGAATCAATATTATTAAACTCTTGATCTAAGAGTTCTGGACTAACAACCCGAAGAGCTCTTAGATACATAAAAGAAAAAAATAGATATGCCCTGAGAAATAATGAGCATAAGGTAAATTATTTGTAGGCTTTCTGTATGTTCATTATTTCTTAATGTATAGATACTTAAACCATTTGTGATGTCGCTTCCAGAAACTTATATGCATTGGTAATTAGGTCTCTGTAGATTTCTCTTGTTTTTTATGTTCATGGACCAATATTACAAAAACAGAGCTCAACCCCTCAAGCACAACTAGGTGAAAACACACACACACACACACACGCATATATGTAGACAAGGCATGATATAGTACACTACACATTGATAATGTCTGTTAAAGCAGGCAGAACGTTTATCCTGTCACTTGTGCCTACACTCTACAGGGACTTACTAGACATTGCTTTTGTGGTAAATAATGTTAAAGCAGAAGAGTTTGTTTTTAGTTCTGCAGTTATAAGGCTAAAATTAACACATGGCTCTTGAGGATCCCTTGCCTTCACTTGCAAGACGAGCCAAGGTCACAACCTTATCACTCACCGTCTTGATTTAGAAATGAGTACTCTGATCATTGTTAATATAATTTCTTTTTATTCACCTGCGTGTGTATTTATGTCCATGTGTTAGCGCTTGAACATGCATGTCGCTCTGTGTTTACATGCGTGAGTTTGTGTGTATGTGAACTGAACTGCAAACTCGTTCATGCCTTTGCGGACATGTAAACAAGCGCCCATGAGGACCAAACCTCGCTTCCTCGATACCACCAGCATTTAACTTGTCTATTTACTCCGTAACACAATACCAAATCCCTGGCAGTGATGCCGATAGCTGCCCCGTTTAGCATTTCAGCGTATTTCCTCAAATGTGATGCTTACGACCTTCATATCATCTGCCAGACCGCCTGATCGTGCGGCTGGCAGCGGGGTTGTGGCGCCGTGTTTCCTGTTTCAAGATGGCGTCACTCCTGCTTGCGTCACCACACACATACACACACACACACATGGCTCCAACTTCACTCTACATGTACTTCTTTAACTCACATATAACTGACCACAGAAAAGCCTTCCATGAGATTAATTCATAGGCTCCCGGTAGTACAGTTGGATTCGTTGAAGACTTAAAATCGGGAATCCCGAGTTTAAGTCCCGGGCAGGTCAGATATCGCTGGGTACGTTTTCTATCGCCTAATGCTTCTGTTCACCTCGTAGTAAATGGGAACCCGGGAGTCACCTCGTTGTGGGGTTGCGTCATGGTATATATATATATATATATATATATATATATATATATATATATATATATATATATATATATATATATATATATATATATATATGTCGTACCTAGTAGCCAGAACGCACTTCTCAGCCTACTATGCAAGGCCCGATTTGCCTAATAAGACAAGTTTTCATGAATTAATTGTTTTTCGACTACCTAACCTACCTAACCTAACCTAACCTAACCTTTTCGGCTACCTAACCTAACCTAACGTAAAAAGATAGGTTAGGTTAGGTTAGGTAGGGTTGGTTAGGTTCGGTCATATATCTACGTTAATATTAACTCCCATAAAAAAAATTGACCTCATACATAATGAAATGGGTAGTTTTATCATTTCATAAGAAAAAAATTGAGAAAATATATTAATTCAGGAAAACTTGGCTTATTAGGCAAATCGGGCCTTGAATAGTAGGCCGAGAAGTGCGTTCTGGCTACTAGGTACGACATATATATATATATATATATATATATATATATATATATATATATATATATATATGTCGTACCTAGTAGCCAGAACTCACTTCTCAGCCTACTATTCAAGGCCCGATTTGCCTAATAAGCCAAGTTTTCCTGAATTAATATATTTACTATAATTTTTTTCTTATGAAATGATAAAGCAACCCTTTTCTCTATGTATGAGGTCAATTTTTTTTATTGGAGTTCAAATTAACGTAGATATATGACCGAACCTAACCAACCCTACCTAACCTAACCTAACCTATATTTATAGGTAAGGTTAGGTTAGGTAGCCAAAAAAAGCTAGGTTAGGTTAGGTTAGGTAGGTTAGGTAGACGAAAAAACATTAATTCATGAAAACTTGGCTTATTAGGCAAATCGGGCCTTGAATAGTAGGCTGAGAAGTGCGTTCTGGCTATTAGGTACGACATATATATATATATATATATATATATATATATATATATATATATATATATATATGTCGTTCCTAGTAGCCAGAACGCACTTCTCAGCCTACTATGCAAGGCCCGATTTGCCTAATAAGCCAAGTTTTCATGAATTAATGTTTTTTCGACTACCTAACCTACCTAACCTAACCTAACCTAACCTAACTTTTTCTGCTACCTAACCTAACCTAACCTAACCTATAAAGATAGGTTAGGTTAGGTTAGGTAGGGTTGGTTAGGTTCGGTCATATATCTACGTTAATTTTAACTCAAATTAAAAAAAATTAACTCATACATAGTGAAATAGATAGCTTTATCGTTTCTTAAGAAAAAATTGAAAAATATATAAATTCAGTAAAACGTGGCTTATTAGGCAAGTCGGGCCTTGCATAGTAGGCCGAATATTGCGTTCTGGCTATTATTATTATTATTATTATTATTATTATTATTATTATTATTATTTGAGGGTGAACGTTATAATGAACTTCAATAGTTAAAAGGTCAGGCATTAATCATGCGTGTTAAACATGACTGTGCGGGTTGCGCAATAAAAACTTTATTAATTGAGTTTTAGGGTTCTTTAATATTTTGCAAGTAAAAGTGCATTTAGATATGATTGTTCAGTGCATAAATATGTAATTGAAATAGGTTAACAGACTAGACTTTTGTAATTTACCGAAAACGGGGGAATCTGGTTTTTAGGGGTAACTTATATAGAACGTATTTTAGTGAACTTGTACCCACAGAGATATTAGAAAGAACTTTTTCAGTGTCAGAGTTGATAAATAGAATGCACTAGGAAGTGATGTGGTGGAGGCGGACTCCATACACAGTCATATATATGTAGATATAATAGAGCTCAGATATAGATATAATATGTAGATATTATATCTACATAAATGTAGATATGATAGAGCCCAGTAGGCTCAGGAACCTGTACACCAGTTGATTGACAGTTGAGAGGCGAGACCAAAGAGCCAAAGCTCAACCCTCGCAAGCACAAATAGGTGAGTACAAATAGGTGAGTACACACACACACACACAGTTTGTGTGTGCAACACGCTTGTTGTGCAACACAACACCCCCGCAACACAACTAGGTGAGTACAGTGCAGAAATATTAAGAGACAGCAGCAGCTGTTGAAACAAGCCAACCAAACTAGGAGGCATAAAACGCACCTTTGATTATGCGGTAATTGGAAAAGTTCAACAAAGAGACCAAAATCACCCCCGAGTTAAATCATGTTTAATACCAGGATACGCA